GATTACAACATGGGGAAACTAATATACATAACATACTATTACATTATCATTACATTAAGTTTACATGCATGCCTAAATGTAGGGATGCACCAATACCACTTTTTCCACTTCTGATACATATACCTGATCTTTGAGTACTGGTCTACGATATGGTACTGATACCGATACTAACTCTATCTAACCTAAATAGCTCAAGTCCTGATATTTATACAGTTCCACATAAATATTAAATATTTTATTTTGGTATCTGGTGTTTTTGTGTTCTGTGCCACTAATAAAAATACCAAATTTGAACTAATGGCATTTACTTGCTTTATTATGTTGCATATTTGTACTACATATATTTATATATTATATAAGTCATTTATCTTATATGTGCATCCCATTCACTTACGCTTACATCTCATATTATACTTATTCACGCCAACAGTAGCAGTGGTTGAGCTATGGATTTCCGTGGGGTCCACAAGACCCCACGGCTGTGTAATACAGCTGACCGACGGAGACCATGGGTGGGGATAGTGAACACACTGTGATATGCTAAAGGCTAAACTACGGCTAAAGGCTATCGCTGCCTTAAGAGACCAGCAGTTTCTTCCAAATCTCTAATGGTAACTATCTCGATAACAATCTGGACTAACGTTACTTCAGTAGTAGTAGTAGTTGACTACTAGTCGACTACTACTAGAGAGGAGGGATTACTGAAAGAAGCCTGGCACAGCCATTCAAGTAAGGGACTCCAGTCAGTTGTATGTATGTTGCTTTATCTGGTGTATTTGTGATATACAGGTGAAAATAATAGTATAGTAAATAACCAGTATTTCACCCACTGTCATCACTGCCTTTCCAGGAAACACTGCTGTTCCCATAGCCAGTATCAATACAGCATTTAAGGACAAGCACAGGCTCCTATATCGATACAGTATTGTGTTGGTGCAATGCTACATAAATGGTAAATGTAGTGTGAACATATAACTAATCAATCAATCTATGGAGACTGGGCACAGTAGTGTGATACAAAGCATTAGCCCACTGACTCATCTCCTGCTTGCACCACTATAAGAATGCAATAGATCAATGACTGGCTAGAGTCACTACTGAGAACTAAGTAAATAAACTATTGTCTGCAGGCTATGTTTGAACAACTTCAGCCTATCTCTCCCTTATCACTCCCCTGGTCAATATTAGCATTATACAGTAAAGAATTATAAACGTCTTTGAGGCTGAACTCTCTATAAGTCAATCTGTCAAGACTCTACCAGTACAAACTCAAAGGCAGAGGTGATAAAGACCTATAAAGAGCTGAATTGCTTTGCGCTACTGTGTATTCACATCTTTCTATGTTTTGTACCATCTAGGGGCTGTTTCTGATGTTGGCCGGTGTCCAGCACACGCACTCAGCCCACTCCATACCATCATGCCAGCCAGACTACAACCAAGTCTTTGTGGCACACCACACTGTCTGCAGAACTGTGTGGATGCTGGTTTTTTTTCACTATCTTAGACATGACCCAGTTGGGATTATTAAACATTTCATCTATGTATAATTCAGGAGTTGTAGCTCATCAAGGGTGAGAGTTGTTCAGGAAGAGGTGCAATATGTGAAGCCTGGGCTTGGCATCTTTATAGAAAACACCAGAAAAAGAACAGAGACCTTCAGCAAAGCCACAGTCATGCTTAAAAAGGAATGGCTGCACAATAAGTCATATTTTTATACTTTTATATCACATTACTGTGATATGAGTTTCCACAATAAAATGCAGTGTTATCTACAAATTCTCCACAAGCGGCATCATTAGCAGTAAAACAGCTTCTGATGCTTCATAGGAGCAGTGCTTCACATCACTTCTTCAGCCTTAAAGTGCACAAAATTTTGCACAGTAGTGAAGTGCTTTCGTCATTTTTTTCTGTTTGCTTTAAGGAGAGGTTAGATTTCCATTTACACAGTAAAAAATGTATTATTACATTAATAATAAAGTTATACTATTTTAATAGTGATTTATCCCTTCTCATATTGTCAGTGACATCCAATAGCTTTTTCAAACATCTTATTTCATGTTACTGTCACCATGATAAACTACGACACAACATGTTTTTATGCATATCATGTCAGTTCTTCTAGATCACTGAACAAATGTATCATAAAAAAAACCTCACTGACTCCTGAAATTTACAGTATTTCTTAAACAGTTCACGTGCATTTCCTCTCACTGTTGACTGCAACTGTAATTTCCCAAATCAAATTAATATTGACATAAGTGTTGGGATTACCATTTATTACTTCTGTATCAGGACATTAACACAGCTTCTACAGCTACCTGTGCTTCTGTCTCAAACTCCTTCTTAAAAAGCTCTTCTTAAAAAATTAAACAAATCTGATAATGACACTGTATGCATGAGCAGTGTGTAACGATAATTAGGTATTGTTTCTAACTAACAGAAAAAACTGCTTTTTCATACAGCTTGAAATTATTTTCCACTGAAGTCAGGGTTGTTAAGGTCATGAAGTTAGCAGAAAAGGAGAATGCTTCACTTGCTTTTTCTGGCTATCCTCTTTTTTAGGGATGCACCGATGCTGGAATTGTGGGCTGATGAAAATATTTGGTATTTTTCATGTACATAATCATAAGTACATTACAGAGAAATGTAAAATTCATACGGTTTATACGGACCATTCTACTGAATTAGTTCAAACTGCAGTCCACAGTAAAACACACTGTGTCGTGTCTGGTGTGAAGTAACAAGCGTTGCGGAGTGGTACCGGATTAACACGCGTACGGCATTGCATCTGGTGCGAAACTGGCGTAAGCCACATTTTAGAACAGGACGTGAGACTGCATCCCTGTCCCTCATGGTCACATGGTGAGCAGTTAGATCCCATTGTTGTGATGTAAATGTGCCCTAAAATCTGGAAACTCTGGAAGAGTGTAACATTAAGAATTGTCTGTCATATGAGCTGAAAGATATAATAAAGAGAGCACTCCTGACCAACTAAAGATAAACCAGGGTACATAAATGCCTCCTAAAACAATTAAATGTTGAGTATTAATGCATACATGAAAGCTAAAACTTTACTTTGGCGTCTTACTAATACCGTATTTTCAGTACAGCCCATGTTTACTTTGGCAAAACAGCAAATGAATGATAGAAAATTGATGAAAAATGTTTCTGGCTGCATAATTCAACTATAACTGTTCTCTACCAGACAGGATCCACTATTGAATCATAACTGTTTCAAGTTAGGTCCTAAAGTTCAGAAGACTGTACAGCTTGAGAAGAAATGCAATCCTGTTTGTAACAAAAAAAAAAACGTTCAGTTGAGAAGGAAAAAAGGGGAAGTGGAGCAACGTTAACAAATACTTCTTCCTTAACATCTACACATTCAATTGCGTCAGTTACAATTAATACCATTTCTCTAAGCTGTTATGATGCAATATAATAACATTTTTGCTCTACGGCACACAATCCCTGTGTAACTGATGTAAAATCACATATTTTGCCTCAAACTATAAGAAGCATTCTTATTTTTGAAAGTACCGGCTATACTGTGTCTAACTGTGCACGCTTTTTGCCATACGGAAAAAGGCATCACCTCTAAATTATAGCAGCAGGATAAACATCAGGTTTGGTAAGATCAGACCATAGTCTGTGCCCCACAGGCAAGCTTAGGAATGTTTCTAGCTTTGACATGTTCTTCTGGGAGGACACCACACACCTTTTCTGAAGCTGGCTTATGCAACTTTTGTAAGTTTGAAGAGTACAAATGCATTGTCCATTCAGACATCAGTGCTTTGACAGATGAAAATATGTACTGAATGAACAATAAGAGATTCTGCCCTTTTAGGTTTATAATTGAACAGTGGTAATGGATATTTCACTTAGATCAAAGTTTGCTTTGACTACATATACCAGACCAACAAAATGCCAGGGGCATCATTTACAAGAGCAGCCTAAGTGCAACAATAACCTATTCTCTCAGTTTTAAGCAAAGTTTTTCCAGACCCAGATCAAACCTAAACCTAAACTAAAAAGGAGTCATCTCTGCCATTTAGTCCAAGACCAGGCTTAATCCATGTCCAGGAAACCAGCCCTATACGCTTTATTATGAGCCATGCTTCAGCTTTTTCTTAGCATATGACCACTCGGCTCACACACCTGTTTAACAATTGTGCATTTTTGGAGGGGTGTTTTTTTTACAGCTTACAAATAAAAACATTGATTTATAGCAGTAATGAACTAATACACATTAGGGGTGGGTGATATGGCAAAAACAATATCATTATACTTATGAAGACACTTTCACATCATGAATCATTATATTTTGTTTTTCTTTGGCTTGACAGACAAAATACACCAGTAATGTCATATTCAACCACTCTATAGATGGCACAAAGCCACTTCTCAAATACTGATATGGAAACCTTGAGTACAGGTTGATACCAATGACAAATCTCATATTTCCTGTTTGAAAGTACACCTTAAAATTGTATATTTCTAATTGAAGCACTTCACTTAAGATGAGCATCTACCCCAGTGTGAGGTAATTTAGGACATATTTTTACTGGATTTAATTTCTCTGTGTATATACTTCTACAGAACCTTTAGAAAGGGCTCTTCTATTGTATAAGCTTGACACTGTAAGAATAGAAAAGCCCTTTTTGGTGTTATACAGAACCATATACAACACATTCTCCGTCAATATGAAGAACCATTTCACCAGGCAAAGAACCATTTAAGCATGTAATAATTCTATACAGAATCCATGGTGCTAAAATGGAACCATGGCCTTTACTAAAGAACTATAAGCATTGAAGACCCATCCTTTTATACCCAACATTAAGTCTACCTGTGCTCTCTTGTGATTAAACATGCAGCTGCACGCTTAGGATCTGCATTATATGCTCAGAAAAATATGCTGTGGCGTAATTTACAGGATAACTACAACAAATCATCACATTGCCCACCCCTGACACACACTGTGGTAAACATGGGCCACCCACCTGCACCATGGTGACGACATGACAGGGGTTCAGAAGATAGATGACCGTCTTGGTAGCAAACTTGAACCCGACCTCCACGCCAAATGTCATGCACAGAGCCACGAGCAACAGGTTCTTCCCCAAACTGTCCTCTTTATTGTTCCGCCCGTCCTTCACCGCTTCTCTGTGCTGCTTGGCGACGTTGATTTTCCTGAGCGCCGCGACCACCTCCACGACGGACAGGACCACGATGATGAGGCTTTCGCACAACCGCTGCTGCGGAGTGATGAAGGCGGCGCACTCGGGGCCTCCGTTACCCTCGAACTTGGGGTCCACCCCACCGTACACCCAGTCCAGCAGGCTGTATATGTTATACCGAGACATGTTCCTCTTCTCGTATTGGAAAAGGTACGAACAAGACGGAATGAAGGACAGCACACTGACTTCTTGTCGAAACATGAACTGCAGCGTTTCGCCCTAACACAGTCCTCAGAGCACGGAGAGCCTACACCACAGCCTCAGACTACAGCTGAGCGGCTGGGAGCTTTCTGTCAAGTAGCGGGGATACAGATTTAGCTAACTAGCTAGCTAAGTAACGTTTCACACAAAGCCCAGTACGATGGTGTCGAGCCACTGAGTGAGGCTGACTGAATTAGCCACTGAACTGGAGCAGTTACTTCATTAATGCGAGCTCTGCCTTCTTTACAACAGTCCAATCCCTCGTCATTTTTAAAAACAGTAGCTATATGTGCGCTACCCCTCTCATTTTAGCAGCTGTATTCGGTAGGCTATGGTTAGGTAATCAGAAGTAGGAGCTCACAACTCTCTGGCGCTCTAAATCACTAAGGCTAGCTAGCAGCCTAGCGTTAACGGCAGTTTTACAGGTTCCGGCATGGCATCTTCAATGGGAATCAAACATTTCAACCCAAACCGGTCACAAATACTGGTCTGCCAGACACAGGTTAGCTAGCCGCCATCCTCAGAGACATTAACGTCCCCTCACTGTTTACTTCCAACAGTAACCTGACTGGAGTAATGTATAGAAAGACAACGTTACGTGGGCAAAGACAACGTTACGTGGGCAAACCCACCCCACACCCACACCCACACCCACACCCACACCCACCCCCCAAAATCACAAAAGCCAAAAAATAAACAACAAATTTACAGCCGAGTGTGACCTGCTAGCTACAGAGCTGCGCCGCGTCCGTGCTAAAACTGGCAGCTAACGTCAGGAGCTCGGTGAAATTCCGTGAGACAACACGTTGGCGAGTCCATGTGCTCCGTGTGGCTTCTCTCTCCCGTTGTCCAGCTCTCCTCCTCAGGCCCCTACTCTGCCTCTCTGCCTCTCTGCCTCTCTATCTCTCTCTCTACCTCTCTCTTTCTCTTTCTCTCTCTCTCTCTCGCCCCCTCTCCGCTTCCACAAACGCAGCGCTCATTTACATATCGCTACATACAGCGGCTTCCTGGATTGGTCGGGGAGGCTCCCCAGACTCCGCCCACTTTCCTGTACCAGCGTTCCTTGGTAGGTTAACTCTTTTCTTGCCGTCACACTTTTGATGCAGTTTTTGAAGAAATGAAAGCGATTTTATTTTGGGTGGGAAACTATGAAAGATCCGCTTCTTCGTACACATCACCGCTTCACACGACGGAGGCTGAAAATAATCAGCAAAAATAGAGCAAATCTGTTTTTTTCTGCCTAGTATTTCCAGCCTCCATTGTACAGAAACATCCTGCAACATGAGGGCAGGTTCTATGTAGTGAAGCATTTATTTATTTATTTAAAATTGTACAATTTTTCCATTGTGTTAAAAAAGGTGTGTTCCCTAGTGGTACAAATAAGTAAGTGAAGTGAACGCGACCTCTTGTGGTGAATTTAGTTCTATCACACCAGAAATGGGCGTGGCTAAGACTCAGACATAACATTAAAACAACGCCTAATACCAGTTCGAACCAACAGATCCTGAGCTGATATTTAGTGCACAGCAAATACAGTTAGTATAGCAGTTGGAGATAGTAGCTCATCAGTAAGTAGATCTCATCATCAACAATGGTTGGCCATTATAAACTTTTAATTTGAAAATATTTTAATTTGAAAATAATTTTTATTTGAAAATAGTTTTTATGATTTTTTAGTGTTTTAGTGTATTTTGTAAAGTCTAGGCTATGGGTCACCTCAAAGGACTTGTGTAGTTGCAGGTTTTCATTCCAACCAATCAAGAGAGCATCTAATATAACTAATCAACTGTTTCAAGACCAGCTCATAAAGGTGTGCTTCTGCTTGACTGGAATGGGCACACCTGCTCTAGGCTGACGTCTGTGCTCAACTATCTTCTGTATAGAAAAGAGATAACTAGAATGATATTTGATTTATATATATATATATATATATATATATATGTACTTTTTTCAGCCTGGACAGGACAGCATACAGATTTCTATGGTGTTTAATGCAGAAGAAACTGTTTACCAGTTTACCACTACTTATCAGTTTACAGATTTTTGCACCTTTTACATTCCTTTTTTACAGTTTTACAGATTACACAGCTTTCCTTTTGCATCCTTTTAATTTTTCTTTTAAAGGAGAGCTGCTACTTTACACATTAAGTAAGCGATCTCACATTTGTTCTTTGTGAAGATTCTTCAGGGGCTAGAAACGTCTGTATGACTCCACAGGTCTGTCAATAGCACATCTGTAAAAGATATTATAATGGCATGATAACACAGACTGTTTACAATAAAAAGTGGTTCACAGTCAGTTTGGGTTGTTGCGATATAGACACATGCATATCAAAAGGTAACACACCAGATACCAAAGTTTGATCGAAACAGTGTTGATTTGATGTAGGGCAAAACCAGTAAACCAATGCAATTGGGTTCCCCGCTGTGCCATCCTTTACACCTCTTTCTCATGGCCAATGCTGTCCGAGAATGAAACATGGCCACCCCAATTATGGGAAGTGAGCCATCATTAATAAAGCATTAATTATGCTTATGGTAAAAATCTGCCAACAGTATAGTAACCAAACAGTTATAAGACTCTGATAATGCTGCATTTGATAATTTGCTGATTTTAAGCAGTGCTGCAGAGCTTCATTATGAAGTAGGCTTTTCGATAGTAAGAAGAGTTAACTATCAAACATTAGTCAGCTATAATTATACATCATGCTAACCAATTTCTTAACAACAAATCACTTCCCATGTCATAGTAATACAGTAACATTTTTTTTTTTCTAGCAGCATGCCACCCCTGGTCACCCCATACTAAAAGACCCCATTCTAGCTAAGCCCCTTGTATCATGTAGGACTCACCTACCACTGTAAATTGCTCTGGATTGCCGTATCTGCTAAATTGTGTCTGCTGAATGACAAAAAATGTGATTAAGTTGTGTTATAGTTCGCAACCACTGAATCGAATGTACTATGCTTTCAATGAATCAATGAGTTCCACGTCAGAGGTCTATGGTGATTCAATGGTTTTGCCCAACATCATAACAGCATTGTTTTAAGCTAAGTTTTCCATATGGGACACATACCATCGTCTACCTAAAGAGCTCATACAGTTATGTTTAGCGTCGGAGACGTAATGTTACAGCCAAGATTGTTTCCAATCCATTGACTCTTGCTCATTCTGCCCAAAAGTTTAGCTTTGCTGTTTTGTTCAGAGGGTTAGAATAGAATAACTCACGTTAGACAGCAGAGCACAGTCATGGCAATGAAGGTGATGGGGAAAGCATAGATGGTGGCGCGAGGAGCATGGAGGTGGAAGTGTTGCACCATCTTACTCACAAACTCCTTCAATCCTCTTCTCTGTCTCTTTACAGAACCTGGAGGGGGAAGAAGATGCATATTAGCCCTGAGCTGTCATCACAAATAGAACATGTGATTTTCAGGCCCACATGAGCTGTCACTGTGGCAGGGGCTTGATTCAGTCACGTATTACATCTGTGCTAAGCCTCTATGACAAATTTGGGTATGTAATATAAAGATTTTCAGATTTGTTTTGAATGTATCGATCCCCACAGCTGGAAATCAGGAATGAAAAGTGTGCCATAAGGTATACAAAGTTTTGCAAAATATTTGTTCTCCAGATTGGTGCCACATGTTTAGCACCATACCTATTTTTGTAATGTTCACTTGTGGGGATTGAACTTGAGTAGATGCAAAGTTTGCTGGCTTCATCCAAAGATGAGGTGGTGTTGTTGTTGATTGGTCCAGCAGTGTCTTGTTCACTGGCAGATTCTGCTTCAGTGGATGGAGAGGAACTTCACCTACGGCGTGGCCACTAACGTCATCAATGTGTGCTAGCAGAGACGCAACCAGCCAAAGCCCACACATTATTTTAGGAGCCACTGACTGTAAGGAGTAGGGGCATGCCAGGAGGCTCACTGTTGCTCTGAAATTACCTCACGTTTCAAGGCAGCACTGCATTGTCTATTACTTAAGGTTCTATTCCATTATGAGGCCATAATAGGTGCTTTTTCACAATGGACACACCCACTTCATTATTCTTTTTCATTCATGGGCCTGATAAAAATATTTGTGGCGATGATCAAATCGACCGTTATGGGTTCCAAAAAATCTTTTTAATGGATAGTTCTACAAATCTTTAAATCTTTTGGAAATGACGTGTGTGTGTGAAGAATCTTTTTTTAAAGCTTACAGAAGCTCCACATACTGTACAGCAATCCTGGTCCTGGAGATCTACCACCTTGGGGAGGTCAGAGCCATCACAGTTGGCTTTGATATTCAGATGCTCCTGAAAGGTGCTAAATTACGCTGGGCGGTAGCTCTCTAGGACCAGGACTGGACATGTTGTAAAGGTTCTAGTCAATTTAAGGGAACTTTTACACTATGTGAAGCTTCTTTAAACATTTAATGAGGTTCTTCACACCCCACAGCTCTTTTTCAAACAATCCAAAAGTGGTTCTTCTATAGCATTGCTCCAGTGCTATTTGTATGTGAAGGTTTTGCTTGCAAAGTGAGGACATTGTAATAGCTGGTAATTGAATGGCTTCTAGTTGCTGCAGCCCTGGCATATAATGATATTTGGCCCAGATCCTTTTCAACTGAACTGAATCCTTTCCTGACCACAGAGGCTTGGGAAATGCACGTCTTGCCAAAAACAGTACAGGATCCAGCTGCTGAATGGTGGCAAACTTTTCACAAGCCAAACACTGAAAATCACCAAATGAGGGCGTCTTGTGTTTATGGTATGCAGATGTTTTGGCATATTTGCTGTGGAAATTCCACAAAACTGCAATTGGTATATTTCAGCACTGTTAACAAGAGATGGGTGTCATCATGTAGTTCTGACCATGCATACATGCAAGTTTACATCCTTAACTGGAAATTTAAAAAGCATGACATCAGTCATTAGAATACATATTAGAATAAGCCCACTGCTTAATTTCCTGAATAAACCAGCCGGTCAGTTAAGGACTGATGATGACAGTCAGTGAGTTTACTGGCATACCGTCAACACGGGTGGGGAGAATACACTGAGTAATTTCTCAAAAGCCTGATAAGACCATGGCTGTGAGCCCTTGTTTGAGGTGGATACGTTAGGAGTGAGGCAGACTCATCCTCTTGTTTCTTTTTCTTCTGAAGCAGGTTTCTTCAGTTTGAATTGTACACTTCCTGAAAAGATGTGGGGTACAAATGCTGTTACTGGGGCAGAGTATGTCTTCTGTACACACTTAAAAAAGATGGTTCTTCAAGGGCTCTTTAGTAAAGGCAAATGTCCTATTTACAACAATGAGTTCTATATATTTGCATGATGAAATGGTTCTTCAGATTGATGGAGAATATGTGAGCCATAGACAACACATTTTAGGAGCATGGTTCTATATAGAGCCAAATTACAAGCTTAACACTGTAACAGTAGCAGAGCCCCTTTTTGGTGCTATGTAGAACCTTTTTTAAAAAGATTCTATATAATTCTATATAATATCTATATAAAGTCCAAAGAAAAACATGCATCTCCAAAACGATAAAAGTGTCCTTAACTTGTAATGTAAGCTAATGGAAAATGGTTTAATTCCATGCAATTTTGGAGCATTTTTATTTGTCCACTCATCATGAAATTTTCACACAATATAAATGACAGCTGTTGTGTTCAAATGATGGGAAAAAAGTAACAAAAATTAAGATTTTTTTTGGACATATATATATATGCGCCCTGGGGAGGTGAATTTATTTAGCTTAACGATTTAACGATCATGTTGTCGTGTTGTAGCTTTGGTACCATGTTGGAAGACAAAGAAGAACACACCACAAAGAACACACTTCTGCACATTTTAATACACAATTACTTTTTTATTTGGAGAATTTAACATACTGAGGGAAAAAAGAAAACAAAATGTGCAAAAGTTTTGGTACATTTAATATTTAAT